AGAAGTACCCTGACCGTACCCCTCCATCCTAGGAAAGGTGTGATTCAGAGTAACCAATCAAACCTAACCCATCTGTATTTGGGAAGTGGGAGGAAACTGGAGCACACGATATTACGGAAAATTCCATCTAAGCTTGAAGAGAACATGCAAACTCCACACAGACGGGCACCTCACGATGCAATCAAACCCAGGGCCCTGGAGCTATGAGACAGTGGTGCTAAGCTCTTTACCACTGTGTCACTAGAGTGCACAAAAACATCTTACTGCAGCTCTTTCTTTTAAAGGGTCAGTGGTCTGAATGCCCTTCTCATACAGTTATTCAGGCTGTACTTTCTGCAAAGAATATGAGATTGTTTTAAAACGTCCTGTCTTTATCTCTTGATCTCTTTCATCGCCTGGAACTATAAGGCTTCCGTGCTGAAATATGCACCAGGAAATATTTCATTTTGCATCCAGCTTTCTAGCAAACCAGGAAAGACGGTGGAGTTAAACCATTTGGCTGACATTTTTGGCTTTGAGTTAGAGTTATTTGTAATCCCAAGAATAGGTAAACCGTCATGGGGGGAGAGCAGGGTGGTAGTTTCATCAAAAAAAAAAAGGTCTGAGTTCTGGTCTTTATAAAAGTAAAATATATTTTTTTTTTCATTTTTCCATGAAGGTGCTGTTTCGTGCGTACTTCAGTAGCCACATCTTGAAATGTGAAGGAAAGGCTTTGAAGTGAAGCCAGCTCTCAAGGAGGGATCACTGAAGCAGCTTTGCTTCAAACCTTGGGGCCAAGACTTTATCATAAGCGGGCATAAGCCGGGTGAAGAAAAGAATTTTCTGTATTTTGTCCTCCCCTATACAATCCATTCGTCTGTCATTAGTCCTTCCTTGTTAATATTGCACATTGAACCAAATTCCAATTCCTAAATGTAACAAAAGCCAGTGTTCACAGAAAGCAATTTGTTGTGTTTCAGAACTCTATGAGTTGACATAAATCTCTCACAAGACCTTATATTGAGGCAGACAGCTGTTTTTTTCCCCTCAGACAGCCTTTAAGTTCCTGATGTTTAACCCTCACATTGATTGGATTGCAACATTTCCTGCTTGTAACACGGGGGCCAAATGAGTCACTCTCTTTGTTTTCCGGCTCTACAGAAGTGTTGCTGAACATTTGACTTTTGCCATGGTTTCAGGTCGTGACATCCCACTGGTAAACTTTTTCTCATGGTTGACAGTTTTTATTTTATATTAATCCCACATACAAAACAGCAGCAGCAGAATCGCACAATGGGATGTCATCAGTTTTCATCCCCATGTTCCTGATCTCCTCTCCCTCATCGCAATGGTGACCCTAAAGACCCTTGAACAATGTCAGCTTATGTCTCCTTTCTTTAGCTTTCAAGCTGTGATTCATGATGCTGTCTGTATGATGCAGTCAGCTGAAATTGTGTGGTAATGTCACATTACATCCGGATGTAACTGCATTACATCAGACAGGGACCCTTATATTTTCTTTCAAATGTCATCATTATATTATGTTAGCTTTTGGTCAGGCCCATCAGAACCTTCTTAGTAACCCTAGTGTGGGCAATGCATTACATGCAACAAAGCTGAAAACACTTTGATAGAAGACATTGCGTGGGTTTCAGTGAAAATGAAAACCAAGATATAGGGGAATTTTTCTTTACTGTTAGAAAAATACTTCGAAATAGACCATATAACAGCAAAGATCCCTGGTAAAATAAAAAACAAAACATCTCCATTGATTTGCTATTATAATCTAACTCTGGACTATGAGTAAAAGGCTTTAAAACTGTATTGGGTTGACACATTTTATTAATAAAATATCAAATTAAAATTTGCCTGCATTCTAGAGTGAGCAAACAATGCTGTTATACATTGCATCAGGTTGAAATTTACAGAAAACCTGAGCTGATTTCCTTTAAACCGAGGCCAGTGGTCCATTATCTCTCTCACTGCAGGGCATTCAGGGAACTGCAGAGTTATTATACTGACATGGATCCCATTGCTTTACCAATGGGAATGAATTTGCAATTGGTTATCCTGATATTTCTGAAAAGACATGTCCTATTTCAGTACAATAGCCGGTGAAAAAATGTTATAACATGAGAGGGGCTGTTCATTCTGTTAGGCATGTAAACATGTGAGCGAATGTCCACGCTGATCCGGTGTAAAATGTACAGAAGTTAAAAGTACAGTTGTTGAAAGAATGCAGTTGTTTTTTTTTCCGGAACCAGGGAAAGTGCTTTTGATTTTTGAAAACATCCTTACTCATTTGAATGGAATTTCATAAGTTGCAACATATCTATATCGGGTATCTGCATCAGCAATAAATCTCTAATGTAAGATAAATATTAGATGTAAAGCAATACTTAAAAGCATCCACAAAATTAAAGTGAAATATATTCACTGTAAGTGTATTCTGATTTGTATTTAAACTTATTTCAAATGCCTAACATTATAGCACTTTAAAATATACATCCAGCCTGTTGTGAGCTAGAGTAGAATGTAATTCAGAATGACAAGAATGGATATGTTGGAGACCTATTTTGAAAGGTTATGTGAATTGTCTTTCAATTGTTCCACTCTATATCCTAAAATAAAAGAAAACAGTAAACAGTTTCAAACACAGTTACACTGTGGCTCCAGTTCTCTCCCGGAGCACATAACTCTGTGGAGTATGCATGTTCTCTGGGTGTTTGTGTAGGATTTTGGCAGAAGCTTGAGTTTTCTCCTGCCTGTCACCATGGTCTGGGCATCCTCCAGCTCAGGATTTCATAGTTTGAAAGGGATGGTTGCAGTTCATCCAGTTTTACGGCTGGAATTATAGAGCATGGAATGAGGTCTTTGGGCTGAATGGCCTATAAACATGCTTAGACTTTAAAAGATAAGTCACCATTTTCTCAACATCTGTTTAAATTCTATGGTCTGTTGAAGACATTGCAGGTTGCATGTTACAGTGGATTATTGAAAAATCTATTTACTATACATTTCTCTTTGGTATTGGGGCTTTATCGGTAGCATTATTTTGGGATGAACATGATTACGAGTGTTATTGAGAGCTGTCCTTCATATACAGAAGTGCTGTGAGGAGGAAGGGTCAGCTGAAACCAACAGATCAAAAGGATTTTAATTAATAACCTTAATAATGTAAAATCTTAAATCTCCTGTTCTCATTTTAGGAATCAGAACTTAACAGATTTTAGAACTAAACTAAATGGCAAGACTGAACTTTTCAAAGACAGAAATACTGTTCATTCTGCAATGTTAGTATAATTAAGTTAACAAACAAGAGAAGGCTTATTCAAACTAAAATGGCTGGTGGCAGGCAAGCTGATTGCCATAGAACACTTTGGCAATGTCCTCCCAAACTGCTTTGTGTAGAAGGAATTGACTCCTTTTCCCATACCTACATCTAACTTAATTTCCATTTGCATTGAGGTCCAATTATTATGGTTGTTTTAGAAATGCGTCACTCATCTCCCAGAAGCGGAATACGTTCCAGGCTAAAGAGATTAATTTCTTCTAATCTTTCCTTATATAATCTACCTCTGGATTGTTTCCATGAAGGCAGTACCCTTTCTTTCATCTAACATGTCATAGCAGAAGGTTCTGTTACAGCATACGAGATCATGATATCTAAACGTCAATCACAGGACATGCACAATCCAGAAAAAAAACCTTAGTTGTACATGAATCATTTTGAGTCCTGGAGTGAAACAATAATTGTCCTGCAGACAGGGACATTTTATAATTTTCACTTCAACGGTTAAATTTATTTTTGCTTCACAAACAATGGGCTTTTGAAGACGTATTGCTGGCTGACCGCTCGCTGTGCTCATATGTAAAAAGCCCACAGCGCCTCTTCATTTTACACTTGGCATTGTTATCAACAGAATTGAGTTTCCTAAAAATCTTTAATTGATTTTCATTCAAGGGTTCTTAAATGGGTGAAAGTCAGTGCATTATCTTCAGAGCCTCCAGCTTTTTCACAGAACTATTATTAAATTTGCGTGTAATACAGAAAGTTGAGTTAATTGAAATAGATCTGTCCTCAGCCATCATCACATTTGTCTGGATCTGAAACTTATTTTGGAAGCAAAGTTTTAAGGAGCATAGAAAGAAAAAGCACATTGAATTACAATAAAGGGTCATGATTTTATGGTATTTTGAATTTGCCCATCATATACACAGTACATTTATAGAATGGAAAACCACATTGCTTAAATTAAAACCACTATCCAGACCCTGGGCCTGGACCTTAAGTAGTGATCAGTGTCAATGCTTATCATAGAGGGCACTGGCTCTGATGTTTCCAAATGAAGATCCAACTGCATTTAGATTTCACTTTTGTCACCCCTTATTTCTCTTCCTGCAGCAAGAAATTATATAAGAAAGCTGTGTAATCCATCCTGCTTTCTTTTCAAGCAGGGATAGGCCACATTCAGGACACCATAGAGATATGTGCAAGAATGGAGTTTGTAAGACATTCACATTTATGAAGGACTACAGTAGCCACAGAGAATCAGGTGGCACCTTCACTATTGTCTGACATGCCTGATGTCCAAAATGAGAACAGAATGTTCTGCAAACTGCAGTCCTGCTGTATTCCTTGTTCATTGTCACTGCCAGTTGCCCAAGGTTTGAGTGAGCTTGAGTCAACTACTATTATAGCGTGCAAAAGTAATCCATATCATTTACTGGGCATCCCAGTGTGACGTGCTTGTCTTGTCCTGTTGATGTTCATTCTCCTGCAGAGCACTATGGATTTCATGGTGTATAGATGACTGATTTTCCCATTTCCGAACAAAGTACTCGTGCAGCATATATCTACCCAGCGTACTGGACGTATCACTGATCTGCGCCAACTTACCGTGGAGGAGGGAATGTAAAGGAAAATGACAAAACGAAGAGGACGGTCCCCTTTAACGTCACTGCATTCTTGTTCTCCCCACTGTCTCCTAATGTTTCGTCATGCTTGTTGCTTGTTGCAGAAGACTATCCCAACGGCACGTGGCTGGGAGACGAGAACAACCCGGAGATGCGCGTCCGCTGCCCCATCTCGTCCAACGACATGCTGCACATCAGCACCAACTGCCGCACCGCGGAGAAGATGGCCCTGACCCTGCTGGACTACCTCTTCCACCGGGAGGTCCAGGCCATCTCCAACCTCTCTGGCCAGGGCAAGCACGGCAAGAAGCAGCTGGATCCCCTCATGATCTACGGCATCCGATGTAAGTCCTGCGCGCTTTCCAGTCGGGGAGGCTGCGGAGCGGATCGCATTGCTATCCTGTCTGATCGCAAAGGGTGGAGCTCAGTCCATCTCCCTGTGTGTCCCTGGTTAGATTGCCCCTTTTACACAGCTTGTGTGCAGAACTGCGGAACTTAAACCTGTTTACACACAATTGGATTAATGAATGAAGCAACCTTGATGAAGAAGTGCTTTCTTGCCTTTCCGTATCATTGCTTTTCATTTCTTCCCAGAGAGATTAATGGATACAGGCTCTTACAACTATTCATTCGTTTTAAGGGTTGTCCCTCAGAAAGCATCTCTCTGAATAAACAGGTAAAGGTCTCATTTGGGTGTACTGCCGTGTTCCTCATTTTTCAGGAAGCATTTCTGCTAACAGATTTATATTCTCCTGCCCGAATTATGTACACTGTTTTCTGTGTGCCCCAGCCTCCAATAAACATTGGCATTGGCAGTTTATTTAAGTTTCTCTTAAATCGTGAAGAAATTGATACTAATAAGCAAAGGCAAACTCTTTCATTCCTGAATTAATAAACAGTAAAATAAATCAAAGGCAATCAAAGAAACCATTCCATTATTCATGAAAGATTTACTCTTGTTATCAAGTAACATGTTTGCTGAGTGGAGATGGACTGACAGACCTAACTGCATGTTAGTTTAAAGGGCACTGCCTAATTAAAAGAGACAGCAAATGCTCTGACCGTGTTAGAAAAATTAATTTGTTACAGTGCAGACAAGCAGGCCTTTGTTACATACTGTATACTGTAAGTTGGAACAAAAATACTTTTCCTCTTAGTTGTGTTAAGTAATCAAAGATAATGGTCTCTCTTGCCTGTTGTCACCACCTGTTGATTACTGATATAGTGGTGACTTCCAAGTCCTTCTCTGTCTGCATCTGGGTTGAAAAAAGCGTGCATAATTCTGGCAGATTGAATGCAGGTTATTGCTATTTACAGGATTTACTCAGCTCAAAACAAAACATGAGCAGCTGGTTCTGTCATCAGTTGTAGTCTACCTGGGACATATTCCCTTTCCTATGGATATGTGAATATGTCTAATGTTATGTTTTCTCTGGATGTGTCTTTCTTGTTAATTTTACATTTGAGTTTAGGCATCTTGTTGTTACCCATTTAAGTTTCATTATCATTTCCTTTCATTTGTCTGCACTTGAAATCATATGAGGAGGTTTCCTAATATTGCAAGCTGGTGTCAGCTTCCCATATTCATGTCCTGGCGTAGTGAAATCAGATACAACCAAAAGGCTCTACACAAGTTGTGTGAAATGCTCATTTTTGACATTTGACCCCTAAGAAAACAGACACCTTCGTCCTGGTGCTCAAAATACAAACTTGCATTTACCACTCTGAAATACCTGTGGTATCAAATATGTGATCTTTAAAGTAGAATTTGAGCACGCTGGTACAATTTGAACAGAAATTGAAGTTCTGTTGCTGAAAAAAACGTGTTCCCCCTTAAATGCATGACATGTAAGTCTTTCATTTTATTCAGTCTCACTCCTAAACTTTATTGGACTAAGCTGTTTTGAAACTGGGTGGATATCGTTTTTTTAAACCTGTGTTTGTGCTGCATTAGGATTCTAATTGGACCTTACTCACACACTGTTTTTGAACAGTACTGTTCTTGTTAACAGTTGTACAAAACGGTTTCCAAGATTTGGGAGTTAAAATCAGAGGTGGAACAAGACAATGTCTTGTACTCTTAAGCCCTCTTAATGTTATAGATACTGGGGTGTGTGTAGGCTTGAGAAGGACTTTATCTTTCAGCTGCATTTCAGATCCTCTCCAGAACAACTGAATGAACCTGAATGAACCTAGTCTGTAACTGGATGACTGATGGTAGTTTGTTGAAAACACTGGTGGTGACAGATACATTTATATTCCCGGCTGAGGCAAGTATGAGAGCAAAAAGTAAAAATTTCCAGTCCTTATTTGGCTCCGATAAATTTCTTCTCCACCCCGTGACGAGCAGAGTATTAGCTGTGATCACTGCAGGGGCCTACGTGAGACCCGCAGGCAATTTTGAATGCTGTCGAAAAGTGTTGGGGATGGAACTGCATTTAGCCAGAGATGCCTGAAATAACAGTTGTCGGAAAACTGTAAATGTATTGATGCCCTGTCCATATTCTTGAGCCACCTATTGCGTCCAAACCCACAGGCTTCTAGGGGAAGGACTGAAAGCTGGTTGTTGACTCACAAGGGTGTTTGCTTTGGCATTAGCTGGGTGTTGCCAGGCAGAAGGATTCCTGCTGGTTGTCCGCAGAAAGAGGGATAGTGAGTTAGGTAACGGTGCATCGCGATAGACAGCCTCCTGTTTCTTAAAGAGACAGAGCCTCTATTATTTGGTCTGTCGCCTCTGATTAGATCAGTATCCAGAAAATGCTCTGCATGGCAAGGGCAATTTATAAAGGAAACTTTTATGCAACAGACTGAAGGGATTTGTCAAAAACTGGATTTTTTTTTGCAAGAACTGGTCAGACGGTGAGAAAGCTGGCCTCCTAGTAACAGGAAAAAAAAAAACATAAACAGAATGGCTGTGAAAGGCTGCTTTGCAAAAAGGGGGTTTGGTTTGTTCCTGAATTCTAACGTTCTTAAGTTATTCTTGAATGCTTAAAAGGTGCTAGAATTACTATATGTGGTGACTGTGGATTTAAATGTGACTGAATGAGATGGAAATTTGTTTCTGTCACATGTTTTTATGCAAAACTGCCCCAAACGAATCAAAGCTGTTTCTTAAGTTTGTGGTTAATCTCTGGGAACTGGGAACTCTGGCCGAAACAGTTACCCTACATTTATTAGAACAGTGCTGGAAGGACGCTGAAACAAAGATTTTTCACAGTAAATCCCCTAATTTCAGCATGATTTTTCAGTAGAAATTATTGAAGCCATCCATCCATTTTCGAAGCACTTTACCGAATCCAGGGGTGCCAGAGTCTCTCCTGGAAATCAGCTCGTGAATTTAGGATGCACCCTGGACAGGACGGAAGTCCATCTCCAGGCAGACATGCACACACTTGCCAGTTAGCTATTATGTATTTCGACTGTGGGAGGAAACCGGAGCACCCAGAGGGGGAACACAAAATGTCCCAGGAGACAGCTGTGCTAACCACTGTGCCACCATGCCACTTATCATCTAAATCCTATCTGAAGTTTCTTTTTATAATTTGTTTCAGAGGTGAGCTCTACTCACTCTGTGTTGTGCATAGTGCTCATGTATGTGATTTTGTTGTTAGAGCTTCATATAAGACAAAAAATATTGCATGTTCATGATGGGCTTATGATTTAATATTCAAAAGGTACAGCCCTAGTGTTACATAGTGTCCATTTCACCATTTTTGTGAATTGAGAAAAATAAATGTAAACTGGAATTATTATGAATTCTTTAATTCATTCTAGTTAATGGAAACAAAAAAAAAACTAAAAATCATGACTAATTAAAGCTTTTGAATATCTTTCCTGTCAAAATTGACATACTGTTTTTTTCCAGATACAGATGTTGAAAATGAGCTTTATTTCAATGGAACCACCATCAGCAAACTGAATCTTCTTTTGGCGGAGATCTAAAATATAAAAGTCTGTTTTTGAATGAATGTAGGTTTTTTCATTAATTTAGAGATGCTTTACAGGCATATGATGATAAATTATGATAATGTTTTCACGTGGAACGCTGTACCAAGGTGAATATTTCATGCCCAGATAAAGACAGCACCCCCACCCCAGCAGAACAGATTAATCTACTCTGACTGACACTGTCAGTCCTGCCATTCCTGTGTAAATACGCTGTACAGCTCACCTGTTCTCTGTGCCAATATCAACAGGTTGGAGTTCAGTTAAGACAAGCTTTCTTAAAAAAACGAAATTTATTGCTAAGGAATTGCTTGGCTTGAAAATTAGGCACAAACGAAATAAACAGAGGTAGTAATTTCATGTTTCCAGCGACAGAACTCATTGAACGGTTAAAATAACATGGAATTAACCAAACCATGTCCTGATATCTAAATTAGCAGCGGATGTCTATGGTTTATTTTGGAGTTCTCTACGGCTATTTTTTTTTCTTGTTTTCCCCCTTTTATTTATTTTTTTACAAATCTCAGTCTATCCATGTGCTGTCTTCCCTTTGGAAGAAATATGTTAGTTGGGTGGTACAGGGTGTTAAATTGGAATCCACTCTTTTGCCTCATCCTCTCACCAGTTTTTAACATCATTTAACCTTTAATTTTTTCATCTGTCGTCTCCATGCGGACCTCAAATATCACTGATAGTGTGAAGAAAGTGGAAGAGAGTTTGAGATGATTTTAATGGCTTGATAAAAGAAATATAAACCCTTTTTTGCTACATACCTTGTTTTAGTCTTAGTCTTTGTGTAATATGTGGACACAGCTTCAAATGTTTAAAGTATATTCTTTTATTGAACCAGATAAAGTCAGACAAAAACAAATTGTTATTCACGATCACAACTTAGCCAAGAAAGTACACTAAAGTTGCATAGAGGACTAAACGGTTAAAGAAACAATTGATAGAATGTAAATAACATGTCAGGATGCGTCAGTGTTAACAAGTTCAAGTGTCAGGCAGAAAGGATTTAATCAGGCAACTGATTAGATCAGAAATAAGTGCATATAGTTTTTAAAGAGAGGAAATTAATAGAATCATCTTTACTAGTTGATCGTGCTTTATAGGGAATATCAATTTCCTGTGAGTGTCTCTGGCTTTAATCTAGTGTCAGAGCAGTTAATTCAGCCCTCGCTAACCTGCTACTACAGGACCAGTCTTCATCAGTCATCCACCAGCCTGGCTGCTGGATTTTCACTGGTTGTCAAGCCCTGTTCATACCGGATGTAACACCAAGTGTGCATGTGCCTAGATAAATAGCCAGTACTTTTCAACAGGAAAGGCCAGAATGATGCTGATTGGACAACACAAACAAAACGGAGACAACTCTGTGAGCTAGGCAAATGTAATAGCTTTGGTGCCTGTCGTTCTAACAATCAAGAATTCAAAACCATAATTTGTGCGACTAAGGATGACAGGTCATTCCCTACAGTACTCTGGGCAGTGTAGTTCAAACAACCTAACAACTCATCTGAATGTGCTGCCCTATCACACTATGCACAAAATAAACCCTTTCTTCAGGTTTATTAATACTAATCCTTTTATGTACATGTATGATCATTAATTGTGTATTACACCCAATTGTAAGCTCCAAGAACAGACATTTTATGTCAATAATGTCACACTGTTCTGGTACTGCATATTTTAATCCACAGTTGTAGACATCACTGTTGATATAGCACCATATATGTATTTTATAATAAGCTATTTTAGAAGTAATAAGTGTAGTAATAAGTATATTTAATAAGAATAAGTATAGTTGAATAGATAGCATTTTATTGCATTTAATATATTAGTGAATAACCTTGTTTTAGCTACAAGACACAGATACTTAATGCTGGCAACAATTTCTACAAAAAGTAAAAAAGAAACAGGTAAAAACATTTCTAGACACAGAATGAGAATATACTCACAACAAGAAAATGTTCTGTGTCATTGTGCTGCATAGATATGGCTACAGTGTAGCACAGTGTTATTTGGAAATCTCTATTGCAGCCAAACAAGGCTGTTCTCACAGCACAGTCTTATCTACTGTAGTGCTCTCCAATGAGCTGTAATGAGACGAATTGAAGAGGCTGCACTTTTTGATGGAGCAACACAGTCTGCGAAGATACTGCATTTATTCATTTACATTCTGCTATTCTGTTAGGAGTCCAAACTAGTACTTTTGAGAATCAGCCTACAAAAATATTTATAGTTTTTACGATTAGCCCTGGAACTCACACTTAAACATATCAACAAGCTACGTGCATTGGAAATATCTACATGTACAGTATAATGAAAATGGACATAATACCCCTTTGTTTATCTAAAGCATTTGCTCCTGCACTCTTAGCTGTTTATTCTTACTTCTTGTAGCAGGCGTCCCTTATAAAGACATCTATTGTTAAGGTGTTTTCATAAAGAAGAGCAGGCTTATGTCTTATTGTTCGCATGTTCGTGTTCATGTTATTTAGAGCACATTGTCATTTATGCTTAGCAGCTTCAGTATACTTGGTTAGTGATCAATAGGTTTCTTAGATGTGGTGGTGTGAGGAGTTTAGAATTTCTCATAATAATTCTATGTGATACCTGTCTTTTAATAATAACCAGACTTCAGTGTTCAGTTGGGTAGAAACTATAACAGATTATTAGCTGAGATTTCCGAAGTGATGGTTTACAATTGCTAGAATGCTGCCAGTAAATGGGCAGGATAGTCATCCAGGGCAACACAGCTCAGTACATTTGCTATTTATCTTTTTCTGACTTAGTTCCAAAATGACTTTTGGACCATGCCTTTTCCTCACTTTCCTTCAGTTCAGTTATTACAAAAAATGGAGTCTTGATGGATCATGGTATGCTATGCAGTCACCGCAGGTGGAAAACAAATTCCAGATTTTGAAGTGTTCCAAAGTCTTGTGTGATTAACAAGTGTAATTGAATGACAACACTTTGGAATAAAGGATCAGTGTTACATTTAGCTGTTTTATCAAATTTTCTTTTAAAAAATATTGTCTTGAAATGGAGCTGAAATGAACAGAATGCAGATCATAGAATCTCTTCCTTCCAGTTAAGCTGTTTTCAGTGTATGAAGTGCAACTTTATAGTTTAACATTGTCCCATATATTTTGCTCCTTAGGTTTTTTACGTTTAGACATTTTTCTAGAACTTTAATCGTTCCATTGGTTACATGGCTCATATTAACATGGAATATGTTGAAAGTGTTTCTTCTTATTTTGTAGTACTACTCTGCCCAGCAGTGTGCTTGTAGGTTTACTTTGGCTCCTCTGTAAGACATTACAAACTCTCAAACGAGCCAGTCTTTATCACAGTGACAGTAAATTATGAGGATGATATAAATGTCTCTGGAAATTGTGCATCACTTCTTAATCCCCAGTTGTAAAATCCATTTTGTTTTACAGAGATCTCAAGGCCGCTATAGTGACATAGTTTGGGTCTTTTTAGGTGACATCTTGCATTTTAGGGGGCTGTGCCAAATTGTTGGTCTACAGGTGTTGTTTTGTTCTTACAGTTATTTCTGGTGAGGAAGAGCTTGATGTGCTTTGATTTACCTCTGTAGGTCTATAGCCCAGTAAACCCAAATCATTTTGAATCTATTGAGACAACACAGAGGTCAAATAAGGGGAACACTAATCCTGGTTTCAGAAACTTGGCAGTGTGTGTCGATGAAGATCATCGGATGGATCGAGCTGTAGTTTTGCTATTCATGTTTTCACTTGTAAAATACACACATCAGTCTCACATTAGTTTAAGGCTCGTAAAACTTCGCTAAATGTATAATATGACAACTGGTAATTGATTTTTTCTTAAATGTTTTAGGTGGTTAACATTTATCGTTAAAGTGTAGGTTGGTTACTATGGCGTTTGAAACTTTATTTTCCAGCGACCCTGTATTGGATAAAGTGGTTAGAAAATGGATGAGTGCATGGATGTACCTTAATTAATGCCATATGAATATACTAAATTTCTGAAGTTTTTATAAAGGCCATTTGTACATTTTTAATCTGCAAAGATTGCCAGTACTGTACTTCTACGGAACCAGAATTTAGAATGTGTTTTTCTTTATCCATATATATTAAGCATTCAAAACTACAAACTACCAGAGTTTCCTGAATGATCAGTAGCTTTTTAAGAAAAACAATTTAATGACACTTTGCAAACAAAAGGAATGTGTGTTTACAGAAGGATGGGTGAACTGTGATGTGTTTTGACTCAGTTCTGGTTCATTCTGAGCCACAGTGCTGCCCTCTGGAGTTTAATGTTTTTGCACATGAGGTTGTGTTCCCCCATTGGTTGGTTCCATTTGGATTTGAGATCCCAGATTGCACTGGCCCACAGTGCACCTGGAGTAGAAAATTATCATTTGAGGAGCACCCTCGAAATAAAACCACTCAAGTCGGCACCCAACTCCTTCCTCCTTCTCGTTTGCTGTCAGGCCACCTGTTCTACAAGTTTGGCATCACAGAGTCAGACTGGTACCGCATCAAGCAGAGCATCGATTCCAAGTGCCGGACGGCGTGGAGACGGAAACAGCGGGGTCAGAGCCTGGCGGTCAAGAGCTTTTCCCGGAGGACCCCGGCCACCTCCTCCTTCTCGGGCACAGGTACGGAGTTTTGTTCAGATCGGCAGCCATGTCGCCCTGCAACTCGCAACTGGCACCCCCACTGAAGTTCAGCTGGTGTGAGCCTGGTCAGTACCTGGATGGGAGACCTCCTGGGAAAAAACTAAGGTTGCTGCTGGAAGAGGTGTGAGTGGGGCCAGCAGGGGGCACTCACCCTGCGGTCCATGTGGGTCCTAATGCCCCAGTTTTGTGACAGGGACACTACACTGTAAAAAGACGCCGTCCTTCAGATGAACCAAGGTCCTGACTCTCTGTGTTCATTAAAAACCCCAGGGTGTTTCTCGAAAAGATTAGGAGTGTAACCCCCGCGTCCTGGCCAAATTTCCCATTGGCCTTTACCAATCATGGCCTCCTAATAATCCCTGTCTTTGAATTGGCTTCATCACTCCGTTCTCCTCCCCACCGATAGCTGGTGTGTGGGGAGTGTACTGGCACACTATGGCTGCTGTCGCATCACCCAGGTGGGGCTGCACACTGGTGGTGGTGGAGGGGATCCCCATTACCTGGAAAGAGCTTTGAGTGGAGAGTCCAGAAAAGTGCTATATAAGTGTAATCAATTAGATCCTCTGGCAGACACTGCGCCATGCATGGGCCCTGTAGGGTTCAGAGAAACTTCCACTGCTCGGGCTGTACGGTCAGGGCCTGAGCATGAAGTAGCGATTAGGGGCTTTGGGCTCATAACAGAAGGGCTGCAGGTTCACACCCCAGCTGGGGCACCGTTGTACTCTTGAGCAAGATATGTCGCTCACATTGTTGTGCCAGCTTTTTAAAATGGTTACAAATTATTAGGGCTAGGCATTTTAGCAAAACAATGTGACTTTTGTCACATTGTGTATGATGTGTGTACAGTAAGTCAGTCAAGATAAAAGCGTTAGGTGAAAAATAAGTTGGAATTTGTTCTAGATGGTGGCTGACATAATGTCATGCCATGCTGTGCTTTTTGAAGGCAGCTCTCCCCAGGCCTCCCATTTGAACATTGCAAACATGTGGAAATGCGGATGAAATGTAAAACATCACAACTTATGTCCAGTGGAAACTATGCTTGCGTGCTCACAGTGCGGCATGGTGATTTAACACACACATGGAACTTGGCTCTTGATTTTTCAGGCATCCCTACCTTTGCCACGCCCTGCTGGGGAAACAGGAAAGTTTGACATGTCTCAGTATTGTTTAATCTTATGTACTGCTGCCATTGTCTTCCCCCTTGTATGCTGTATATCAGATCACCTTAAAGTAGACTGTGACTCTGTGATCCAAACCACTTTTTACTGCTTTTGTGATTGGCTTTTTATGCAGCAGGAAAAAAGGCCCATATGACTCCAATAAAAACACAGCATAGACAGTTGAGACTGTAAAAGAAATCTCTGTAAACACCTGGTTTTTATTTAAATCCAGGAACTATTAGCTTCATCCCACAGCCAGTCATTGGAGTTTAGCAGGATCGAGAGTGTCAGCTGCAAACACACAACAGATCAGAGAACCTGGAGGAGCTGTGAAAGGTCTTACTTCACGTATTTGTGAGCCATCATCATGTTTTATTGGAGCTGAAGAGGAGAGAAGCAGCTGGTGGACAGAGGAAAACATAAAAGCACAGTCAGCATCTTCTTTGCAGATCCTCTTTTCCTCTCGCAGTGCATGTATTCTTGTGATGGGTTTCGTCTGGGACATACAGAACGGGGATTATTCATTGTTTATGGTGTCCTCATCTCAACCTGCAAACTTTCCCTTGGTCCTTAGCTCAAAAAAATGATGTTCTTTCAATCTGAGGGCCTGGGGCTGTCCTTAAAGATTTATTATCATCGTGACCAAACACTACACTCTGGATGAGGCTGAACTAGTATGTTGCACATTTTAGCTCCCCCTCCTCTCCCACCAGTGGCCCCGGGGTTCCAGCCCACGGTAGACTGGTGGAAGGTCAGTTCTGCACTCCAGTGGGAGAACTTTAATGAATGGGTTACTCAGGAGCCACCCACCCTCTCATCAGTACGTAATAATTCCCTTGATCAAAACAACGGACGGTGGATTACAGCTCCTCAAGCACTGTGAAGTGTGAACACAGGACAGGCTACCATGACCATGAAAGCAGCCTTTTATTTTCTAATGGATCTCCTCCAGCTGTGTTCCGTTGTGTCCAACATAGGTCTTTTCTTTCTTGTTCCTTCATGAAACACATTATTAAACGTTGCAACAACATTGAGGTTGAAAATAATTCCTACCCTAGTCTTGTGGAGTAGGATTGCTTCTGTATGTGGAGACTCCCAAGACCAAAGCAATGCCTCTATTCTTAAATCCAACATTCCACCATTGTGATGCATAAGAAGAATATTCATCACGTTGAACCCTCAAACCCTGAGTTATTCCATCTGCAGAAAGCCTTAAATAAACTTAGGATTGTGGTGTGCATGGCAGCTATCATCTCCATTAGTATCCAGAGTGTATGACATTATGGGTAAATTGCATTGCACTGTGATCTCTGCTGATTTGCTGCCAAGATGTGGGAATCTTGATAGGCAAATGTATAAATATTTAAATCTGTAATGTAAACCTGGGCTTGCCAGTTTGTATGACTGCATAAGCTTGAGTTTTAGTTAATTCAAGTTCTCATTTCTTGACATCTGCAGGAAAAGGAATGTACCGTATGTATAGTGTATATATAATGTTTATAAAAAAAAACGTTTTTGGTGCTATCAAGAGATTTGTTTTTTTTAAGAGAAAATTAATACATTTCTCTTAAATCAACTGGGATTATCCATGAGTAGAGGAGGATAATCATCATTTTGAATAAGGTTTGTTTTTTATATTTGATGTTAAGCAAGGTTTATTTCCTAATCAAGATCCCCCTTTTTTCCATTTTCCTGCAGCCAGATCTGATTCCTGTTAAACATTTTGTGTTATTAGGAAAAGTTTCTCTTTAGCTCAGCTTCCTTGGGATTAATGGTCAACTGCACTTGTTTGGCAAGGAAGTAGTTGCCTCTCTTTGCTTTAACAATGGTTTTACTGCAAAGCTGATAACGAGTAAAAGTATATAAAAATGCAGCTGTAGAGTGATGAATTGATAAATACCTTAGCAGTCTTAAAACTCGCACTCACTTTCACAAAGAGCAGAAGCTGGGGTAAAATTAGGTTCTTATAGTATATTATAGTACATTTTGGAGGAAAGTGTGCTGTCTCAATCCCTCATGTGCTGGTATGAGAATCATAGTGACAGGCTGATCTGATTAATACTCATGCATGCTCTTCATGATTAAAGAGGCTTGTTAAAAATGTAGTGTCATGCCTTAAAACTCCAGTAAACAGCCTTTAGTGCAAAACTGACTTAGATCCTAAATTTTTCCATGATGAAGTACAGCAGAAAGAAACCCTTACAACTGCTTTTCAAACCTTTTTGATATTAATAGTGTAACTTAAAGCTTAGGTTTTTATACAGAATACCATTGCCTCATTTACATTAGCGGTTATTTTCGCTGCTCTGCACTTGTGACACAGGATGCTCTTAGACATAAAACTCTTGGTGCTCTCAGTCTGTGGATCAGTGTTATGAAGAGAAAGAAAACATAGAATCGGTAACGAAGAATCAGACCCACAGCATCCTTTACTTTTTCATTAAGGAGTCTGCTTCAAATCTCCTCTAAAGCAGGCCAGCCAAAAATAATACAAAAAAACTCTGCCATGCATTAAAGGGTACAAGAGAAATTTGTATGCTGAAGACATAATTATGTTTAAAATCACATGCTAGGGCATGTATACAACAAAAAAGTTTGAAAAAAAAACAATTCCTTTTCCATATGTGAGGATATTGCAACAGCTGGAAAACCAAGGGGTCTGCATCCCAAGTCTGACACATTGATGGTTGCTTTGGTCATTACGTCTTCCCTTGATTCTCAACAGCCCTACTTATCAATGGGCTGTTATTATTTTTCAAACCTCTGGAAGCTGGGAAAGAACCGGGCTGCCCGACATCACAGAACGTTTTTCCAATCATTTCTGAAACGCAGACAGAGTTTGGAACAGTGGTGAGAGAGACTCCTTGACTGGGGCTGAGGTTTCTCCTCCAGCTTCTGAGTCAGAGCCTTAATTGCTGTCGCCTGCAGAGGATTACTGTTTACTGGTAATGTGAGCGACTAGCTGGGATTCAATGGCTGTCGGAGATAAAAATGGGAATCAGTGTTTAATAAATATGTCAGCTGGTAGCCCCGCTTAACACGTTTCACAGTGCATCGCAGTGTGTGAACAAGCTTTAAAACAATCTACAGGCAGCTAAAGGTCAGCCTGTCTCGTTTGTATCATTAAGAGTAACTTGCTGGAGGAATTAGGATAGAACAGGTCTCTGCAGCTTTTTTTTTTAGAACAATGAAATCATCTCGCTGGTGCTCCTGTAATTAAATCCTTTGTGTATTGCTGAGCAATAGGGTTTTAACAATTTGAAAAGGAAATCTAAAAACATTTTGAAAATACGTTTACAAATATGCATTTTTCATTTAAAAAAGGACACTAAAACATGTTGAGAAACACATTTGAAAGCTTTATTTGTATTTATATATACTTTATTTCAAGCATGCATTGGCATATTTATTAAAATATAATGCTCTTTTCCTCTAAAGGTACCTTGTGATTTGATTTTCGTTATTAATATTAAAATTAAAGGAGATAGATCTGCAACCTACATCAGGTCACGTTTTCATCAGGTCACATTTTACAAAAGAGATGTAAAATTAAAATAATCTTAGAAGGTAATGTAAGCTAATTTTCCATTGTTTAAACTATCCAAATTCAAATATATTTGCTTTAAAATATAATATAGATTTTAAAATGTTTTTAGATGGAATTTTGTGGTATTTTTAAGTATTGTAACATATTTTTCTATTTCTCCTCCATGAGACTTATTCTAAAATTCTAGCTCATCCAAATTTGTCAAACAGCAGTAATGCCTTTCAAATAATAGGAAGGCAAAAACAGTACTGTATTGGAGACCCTGAAAGACATTTTGAAAGACTTTTGTCAGTTTTTCATTTTTCAAGAGATAAAAGGTTTAGCAAGCATGGAATCTGTTTTACCAAACTAAAGCATAATCATGACATGGTCACTGTGTAATCACCTTCAACTGGGGCATGAGGTATCTCCAGGCGATCACTGAAGCTGCTCTTACCAGCTTGAGCTTGAACATTATTGTCATATTTTTGTCTTCAAATGCCAGAGAGAGATCTGGGGTCAGAAGGATTGCTTTCAGACAAAGATGTTTACAGAACACAAAATGATCAGGATCAGTTCATGCAAAACTTTGATTTATACAATGATTGAACCAAAAAAAAAAACAAAAAAAAACTTTTTACCATGAGGGGTTAGAGCTCTAGGTGTAACATGTATTGTTGTAGACAATATACAGCTGTAATTCTCTTGTTTACAATAAATGAACTGTTTAACTAGGTTTTTTTTGTGTTCAGCCCTGAACACGTTTTTTTTTTGTTTGCAACAACCGTTACAGTATTTGGTCAGAGCAAATAGTTAAGCAGCATCTCCTAAAACTGGCTCTGCCTTCTTGCACTGTCTCAAATGAAGTGGGAAATGGCTAATATCATCAGGTTGCCACAATCGAGCAGATAAGAAAAAAAAACAGGATAAAACCGTTTAGTCTACAAAGTAATCAAGCCAGATGCCAAAAACACGTGGCTCAGTGAATATTAACTTTCTAAAGTTGAGCTTATTTCGAAACAACAGCATTAGGGTGAGCCAGTCTGATCTGAATAGACGGAAGCATGCCCTAGCCATCATGCATTCATGCCAGTCTAAGCTTCCTTTATTATACTCTGCAGATGTTATGATTCAGAGCTTGATGTTATTGATGAGCCTTACATTCATCTGACCACACAGTTTCTGATGGACTCCTGCTCACTTTTTTCCCAGTGTCTGCTGTCTGTTTGCGTCTTCTCAGCTGTCTTTCCTTTCCTGCAGCATAGCATGTACTGTACAGTTCTGCCCTGTTTGCTTCTGGAGGGTGAGACAAAACTAACACGTACTGAAGAAGGATTTTCTTCATGTGTGGCCAGTTCAGTTCAGAATCTGAGCCGTCGTACAGCTGGTTTCCATGACCAATATTCAGTTAAATATTCAGTTCCTGAAGACCAGTGACATCTTGCAGCCCTGTTCACTTAAAAGAACCCCTTTCTTGCCTACAGAAAAAGTACACATTCATCACAGCTACTAACCAAGGTACTCTCCACCGAGATAATTAGATTTGTCTTGTTGCTTTTTCTTGAACGTACGTCTCAAAAGGGGTGTGCTAGTGTCTTATGGTTTTTGGGAGGACATTTTATTACCTTCTGAAACTATGATAATATTGCAATAAAAACCTTGATTTCTATATTAGATCCTTTAACTGATTTTCACCCTCCACTTTGTATCTTACATCTGTCCGCTCTTATTACATATGCATTGAAACATGCGCACCTTAATGTCTCTTAAGAGTTAATTCACTTATTTGCTCGTATTATTTCATGTATTTTGGTCGTGTCGCTTTTTTGATCTTGATCAAAAATAACTTTTGATTGAGGGTCGTATCATTTTCTTTCACAGCTGTGTTACATAAAGAAACATTAATGATAATGTGGAAAGCGGTATGCAATTTATTCTGACATGCTGTGGACCTGCTAATGGAAGATCTTTTTCCAGAGGTATTTAGAAGGAGATGCATGTATTACATCAGCTTAATTGAACCTGTTCGAGCTGTACCTGGTAATAGCCAATGATGATGCTGTGTGACAGCCCAACACATTTCTGTGTAATTAAAACGTCTTCGCCATGTTGGCACCGATGGTGCTTGATCCGTCCAGCTGTTTATTCTGAAGGCTTTCTGTCTGTGTTCCAGCTGCACAACAGAGGTTCACATCCCTTGCCCTGTACTCAAAAAATACAATTTCTGTTTCCAGGACATCAGACATGTTTTTTTAATTAAATCTTCATCTTTTCTCATCTGATCACAACTGAATAATTTCAAGATACACATAGAGATTTAACCCAAGACCCGTTTTATTTGTCCAATGTCTATTTTGATTAATTAAAAAAAAACCCTCAGAGGTCTAGAGCTTTCCAAGACTGGAGTTCATTATGCCAAGAAATCACTTTTTCCAGCATGTAAGCGTTAGACATTGACACATTTGGGGGGGAAGATACTGCTGACGAGGGATTAAATATTAATTATTTCAAAGGCTGTGTTTACTGTTTTATGATATGCAGAATATGTGCCTAAGAAAATATTTTTGTATGATGTTGCCACCAGGCTCCATTACTCTAGATAAACCTTAAGATGCTTTCAGGTTTTTAAAGTCAAGTTTTAAAACAAAAATATTGTTTTGTAAAAACGTTTTCTGAAGTTTTCCTGATTAAATTACTTAAATTGAATTACTGGTTTCCTTTAGGTTAGATCAGCCTTAGTGTACATCTTACAAGCTTTGTTTCTTCTTCTTAAAAGAATTAGAACAGTATACTAAATGGCAACAGATTTATAACTGTCATAGTTATAAAAGCTTTGAGGTAATTGATCACCCTCAGCTCCATGTAAGTTATCACAATATTTGTATTGTAAGGAGTATTGAAATTAATTTTACTTATGGATGGGCTCTTTTCAGAGAGCAATAACAGAGATGCATAATGTACTGTATCTTCTCCTGCTTTAGAAGGTACATGAGCATTTCCAAAGTGTTTTTATACTGCAGAAAGTCCTTCGGTGTTACCATAAATGTCACATATAGGAGAGAGAATCTCCCGAGCATATATTTTAGGTCCAGCATAAAGGCAACTATGCACAGTACTTAATACAATAGTATGTTTGGCACAGCATTTTCCACCATCCAGTTCCTCTGCAATGTCACATACTTTCTCTGCAAGAATTGACCAGGTGTCTGCCTCTTCTGCTTGCATTGAACTTAACCAAATTTAGCATGAACCCTTTCACACAGATCCAACTCTATATTAAATTAGAAAAATGTAAGAGAGATTAATTTGATTTTGTTCTAATGGTGTTAGATGGTATTTAGGCTGAACAAATTGAATTTTTATCACTGGATGTACACGTTTAATGAAATCAGGGTGGATACAAATGTGAATTTTCTTAATTCAGTGTGTTCTGGAATTGTTGTGCCAGCTCAGAAGCCTAAGATTAGGCCTTTCTTATAATCCGTGTGTCCTGGCTGCTTTTGTTTGTATTATGACAAATTTTAAATCTTTAGAAACTTGTGTGTTTTTGAGAATGGCATTTCATTATGGAGACTTTCTCATGAAACTGACAGAGCGGTTTATGCACTGATACAGTACAACCATGTGCATCCACCATTTATTGGACTACTTATTCCTGCTAAGGTCCCAGGCTCATGGCACAGGGTTCGAGGCAGGACTGCACCCTGGACAGGGCTTCAGTCGTTCACAGAGCACATACACACACACAAGCACACAGGGACAATTTAGACACATTAGCCTAACAAGCATGTCTCTGGGAGGTGGGAGAAAACTCTTACAAACGTGTGGCTAACCTGTAAACTCCACACACAAGGTGCTCCAGTCCAGAAGTGGACTGAGCAACAGGACTGTCAGTACAGACACTTGCTTTGGGCCCAGATGGGCTGTATGGATAAGGCACAGCGAGTTTTATTCTGGGTCTTCACAAGCCTAATGTGATCGGGACTGACTCAGGTAACAAGTAGCTTTCTCATCTCACAAAAAAAGGCAAAAGTAGTGCCTTTTGTGCCAGGTGCAAATAAACCCTTTAGGGTTTTTGCGTGTATGATAGTGAGAATACGTGAAGAGGCCTGATGAAGTGTTTTGGGTTTTTACAGAGGGGATACAGACCACAGCAGCATCCCCTACAGAAGGCCCAAGCCAGCAGACGCTGCACTACACCTTGGCCAACACACAGCAGGTCCAGATTCACCGCATCGGGGATGATGGCCAGGTACAAGTGGTAAGTGTGGCTGCTCTTCAGCTTCCTCCACAAATCCATTGATAATGTGACACCTTCACCAACTCAAGTATTTCTCAAGCCCTTTCTTCCAGAGCTTAATTTCTAAATCATCTCCCAGTGTGCTGAAAGGACATGTAAATATAATGTGCTGGCCTGTATCTCCACTCCTTGTGAACACATTGGAACAGATTTTGCACCTGGGTAATAAAATACCAACTGCCGTCATTGCTCATATAGTTTTTAGGCTTCCAGAAGCAAATCTGTTCTGTTCAATCAGCCTGATTCATGTGTTCAGAGATTTCCTGCAGTCTGGGAAAGGCAAGACAGATAGTGATGATTCTCCTAAAAGCTTTGCCTTGCCCGTCAGGAATGTCAGATCTAAAAGGAAACTTTTGAAGTTAAGGGGTTTGTTGCTGTAACTGATTCCTTGTGGTCTCTAAAATGGTGATTTTTTTTCTTACTCCAAGAATGAGGCCTCACCCGTTTTTTTGTAAAGTTAAAAAAAAATACATGTTCAATGCATGCTTTGCCGTTGACCAAGAATTTAACACAGCTGAATTTTGGCTAATTAAAGCCTTGATTACTAGATTTAAGAAATACCAAACTGCAGGTTTGCAGGCTTCCCTCATCTGTGTTTCTGCAAGATATAAAGCTATTTTCTCAGTGTGTAAAGCTAAGCTTTTAACAGGCCGAGGAGCACAGCACTGCCACTCGGGGCTCCTCTCTGTGTTGTAGATTGTTCAATGGCAGATGGTACTATATCACCACAGCACGACTAGCCCAGAGAGGAAAGAAGCCCACGGCTGTCTGTGTACTCCCAGTGACCTCTGACACCGCTGATACGATTCTTATTGTCCGCTCGATGCGGACGGCATGTTTTCTCTTCCTTTAAATAGATTGTTTCCTTCCAGAGGAAATGAAACCGTTTGAAATAGAGAGCTGTGTCTCTTTTGAAAATTCC